GCTTTCTCCTCTGACGCAACCACCAGATTGCCCAGCGTATCCTGCAGGGGTCCCACATTACCCGGCACCTTCTTCATCCTCCCAATATATTTGAAAAAGGACTTTTTGTTATCCTTAATCTTGGACGCCAGTCCAAGCTCCATGTCCGCCTTGGCCTTCCTAACAGCTCGCCTACAGGCCCAAGCAGAGGAGGTATACTCCTCTTTGGAGATTTCACCCCCCTTCCAGATTGGGTTGGAGGTGCTTAAACTGGTGGAGTTGTTTCAGGAAATGCAGCTACATGCCTACAGTAGCTCAGGCCAGAAGACAGGGTAAGCTAGAGCAGGGCTTTCTGGCTGTGTATTCACTTCCTCTTCCAGCTGCCCCCAAGGTCTCTGGGATTGGAAGCCCTGAATTACAGCAGCAGGACCCTGCAGGGTTGCTTATCATTTCCTCTTCCTGCTTCCAGGTGTGTCTGGGATTTGTAATCCACAGTTGCAGCCACCAATACGTTTGAGCAGGGGAAAAGGTGTTTAACCCCCCTCCCTGGCCCCAGCCCCCAGCTGGGGTTTGCCTGGGAGGAGCAGCTCCCCCTCCCCCCGCCCCTAGACTGGGCTGCATCCCCAGCCGGGCTTGACCTCCCCGGCCCCCCTCCTGCCCTTGTCAGCCAGCTCTCACTGCTCCAGCTAGGGAGCAGAGAGGCAGGGACAGTTTTGATCTCTGGAGCAGACAGCACAGCCCAACCCAGGATTGCTGGGATGCTGAGGGACTGTGATTTGACTTGAACCAGGAATGTTTGGGTGCATTGTTACAACATGCTATTCTATTCCCCCTTTTTGAAAACATTTTAATTATCTCTCAAATCCACTGCTCCAGATTTTTATTTTTAGCTTTAAAAAATAATAAAAAGTTTATTGACTTCCAAGAGACAGGTTAGTAGATGAGAGCAAGAAGTAAGTAACTACAATTGTTGCCAGTAAGGCTTGATAGATTTTTTGAATTTGTAACCAAGATTGGAAAGAGGTCACTTTGTTCAGCAGCGTAGTGGCAGTAGATTTTGTAAGGCATGTTGATTTGGGGAAAAGGACAAGCATCTGGTAAAAATAATTCATAAAATAAAAGGATAAGCATCTCTTCTGTAAATGGATATGACATTTTATATTTACTGTCACTGCAACACACCAGTTTAAATGAAATGCAGGTTTTGATTCTTACAAAAGAAGGAATATATGTCAGAGGCCCATAAGTGCACCATCCATATGATTAGTTAGATCACGTCCATACATTTAACATAGGGAAGGGGTGTCAAAGATATGGCCTGTCTGGCCTGGAGAGCCATATCATCCAGCCCTTGATGTACTGGCCCCGTGTCTCGATTTGACCCACAGGCTGCACACAGCAGAGGCTAAACCAGACCCATGAGCAGAGCCGGGACACATGGTGCCCACTCTAGAACCTGTGCTAAATGTAGCATGTACAGAGGGCCAGTCCAGGACTCCCCCTGCATGCTGGATCCAGCACCTTTAGCACATACTATAGCTGGTCTGGGGCAGGCACTGTGTGCAGCACAAGTCCAGAGCAGGTACTGTGTGTAGTGCAGGCCTGCAATGCCTGATCCAGCATGTGGGGGCTGGAACGGCAATAGGTCCCCTGCATGAAAGATTAATTGCCCACTCCGGCTGGCCCGGGACTATGCTATATACAGAACTCACTCCACCTCATTTGGGACAAGTGCGGCATGTGGTGTCATCTTGAACTTTTTTCGCTATTTTGGAGCAGGCACTGCAGACACTGGATGTAGCATGTCAAGGGGAAAGGGGCCTATGAGCCCTATTTGGCCCATGGGGCTTGCCCAGCACCATTCATCTAGCCTATGGACCTGTCCCATGCCACTCATCTGGCCCCCAAAGTAGGTATTGGTTAGGGGTTTCTTTAAATTGTAATAGATTATCATTGTTTTGTTTTTGTTATATTTTAAAGGTGGAAATGTTGGGGCATACTTCACTCTAAATGATACTTCAGGAAAACTCTTGGCCACTCATAGCTTAGACAGAGAGGATACCAGCAACTTTACCCTTATTATTGAGTGCCGTGACTTGGGCATCCCTCCAAGAAGCTCTACAACACAGCTGCAGATTACAGTGCTAGATGAAAATGATAACAGCCCTATATTTGCAAAACGCCATTATCAAACCTCTGTAAGAGAAGACCTTGAAGAAGGATCAGTAATTCTTGAGCTGTTTGCTTCTGATGAAGATAATGGCCTGAATGGTGAAGTTGTATACTCTCTCTTTGATGACACCCTTGGAGCATTTGCTATTAATAGTGCAACTGGTACTATAATTACAACAAAAGCCCTGGATCGAGAGACCAAATCTCAGTATACATTCAGAGCTGTGGCAAGTGACTGTAGCATCCAGGGACCAAGAAGTACTACTACCAATATTATGGTGTACATTGATGATGTTAATGACAATGATCCAGTTTTTCTACAGAAACCTTACATGGCTTATGTGTCTGCTGAAACCTCTGTGAATCAAACAGTAGTCACTGTGAGAGCTGAGGACATGGATCTGGGGCCAAATGGAACTGTAGTTTTTAGTTTTATGGTACCAGAACCCATGTTTCAGATTGACATGAAGACAGGAGAGGTTACTCTTCAAGAGCCTGTGCCTTCTGAAGGCTTCACTACCCACCTTTTTGTAATGGCTTCAGATCAAGGTTTCCCACCGAGGACAGCTACAGCTCTCTTGTCTGTCTCTACAAGGGAACAAGAGGAGGAGATTTCATTTAGTCAAAGACTATATGAAATAACTGTGCCTGAAAATAGTGAAGCAGGTGAGTATCAGACAAAGTCATGTCCATACACTAGCCAGAATCTTGGCCTTTGGAGTGCTAACGGTGATGAACAGAATAGGGACCATGTTTTTTCTGACATATAACAGCAACTTTAAGTCCAACTGGGTTTGGGCTATGTATGCAAACTCTGGGGTGAGAAAACTATTATTTATTGGCCAGTGTACTAGGGCCAAAAGGAGCCTGATTTGCTGACCTGTAGGAGTGTCAGGCTCTTGCTTTTATGACATGGCTTTACTCACATTAATGAAATACTTCTTTTTTTAAAGAGAAATAGGGGATACTGCACTCTTAAGTCCATCCCTGGACAGCTCTTTATCAGCAAAATTACTCTAGCTAAGTGCTCTCTGTACTTACTCTGTGCTGTTTTCCTTGCCAGTGTATATCTAGTGAGAGTGAAGGCACTAGATATTTGTGTGAGTGTGTATGTGTACATATGGCTTAATTTAAAAAGGAAAAAAAAAGAAAAAAAAAAGAAAAAGCCCTCCTTGACGATATGATGTAAAACAATTATATAATTAGTAGTTCAGTAAATGAAGTGTGTGGCCAGGTGAGGGTGGATAACAAAATCTCTCTCCCCGGGGCTAGACTGCCATACTTTGGAATGATGGAAGAATAAGAAGTTAATTCCCTAATGAGAGAAGGTGTAGTAAATCACCCCAAAAGCGGGATAAAAGAAAATTGGTTTAATAGTAACTTCCCCACAGGTTGTGGAGAACCCCTCCTGTTCTCATAGCCCACTCCCCCAAGCCAGTCAGCTCTACTCCAGTCCCACTCTTTTTTCTCTTTCCTGCTGGTACCTGCGGATCCTTCCTCCATGGGACCTTCTCTCAGCCAGTAAGTTTCTCCTCCCTTCCTCACCTCCTTGCTTTGCTGGTTGCCGTAGTTACCTACACCCAGTCAGCCTGTCTTATCAGCAAGCTGCTCCAGCACTGGGTCTGCCGCTCCTGGTGTCCCCGCTGAATCTCTCCATGCTGTGCCCCAGGGGGCAAAGGAAGACCCCTTGCTGTGGACTTAAGTAGCTGCTGGCTCCTAATCAGTTAACATTCACCCCAGGTGCAATCCTGTTCCCAGTTGTGTTTACTAAGTAAATAACTGCCTGACCTGACTCTCCCCTATACTCGCAACTTTGTAACATTAAAGAAATAGGGCTGTCTTTGTAACAGGGCAAAGTGAAAGCTTGGATGAGGCCTTTATGTATCTGTTGTCATAGGCAACATGTAGGGAGGGTATGGGGGGTACGTGCCCCTCCTGAGAGTGCTGGTGCCCCCCCTGAAATTGGCTCTGCCTGTCTCCAGCAGTCCCCCCCCCCCAGGTCGTGCCCCACTGGTGCCCCCCAGACTCGGGAGGCACCAGTCACCCATGTCTGTTGCACTAAATGAGTTTAGTGGTAGCAACGTTACTAGTAAACTGCATTCAGGAACACTCCAAAATTTTCCTTACAGCGTAAGTCTTGCAATAGAGTGAATAGAAGGAAGGACAAAAAAACACAGACCCTTTGAATGATTCCCTAGTTATTAAAAGAATTGTGCATGGCATTCTTATTTAACCAGACCTGTTCAAGGGCAAGCAATAGAAAGAATCCTACATTTTTAAATACTCTCTGTAGATAAAGGAATACACACGGGGTCTGTTTAGACTTTCTTTTTTCTGGGTATAACTATAGAATTCTGTACTCCTGGAGGTCAGCATTAAATTCTATACACAGTTTTTGAAAGGGGCTTCAGTGTTTAATCACAAATAAAATGCTTCATTTAGTCAATGTGTTTCAGAAGTAACTGTAGCTGAAAACTATCTGATATATAGTTATGCATACTGGTACATATTGGTGATCAAGTTTTTATGCTTCAGGGATAAACAGCAAGAGTCACAGGAAGAGTCACACAGGAATAACTCTCACAGCCTTCACATACTTGAATACTATTGTATAATTTGCCAGGTGTTTGGGGAGATATAAGACCTGCTGCAATTCATCTGCCACCTAATGGCTCTTGCTTTTCACAAGTCATTTGTCCTGTCTATGCTTTGGACTTTCCATCTGCAGAATAAGGGCAATATTCCTTTATACTGTAAAAATGTTGTGGGAATGGTAAACTCTCAACTTGTTAGTGAATGGCTATAGAGTTTGTGAGCAATACATGTAATGAAGTGTGTTAATGTAAAGCAATCATAGAATAGTTTTCTGACAAATTGATTAAAAAAAAAACAAATATGTTCCTGAATGATGGCAAATAGAGTAAAGGGCTAACTTTGTTGCTGAGACTATTGGCTACAAATTGTTTGCCCATGTTTTGTCTTGTACATCCTACAAGTTGCAAGCCAGACTCACTTCTAGGTCCTGGTAGGTTTGTACAATTAAATCATTTTTGTGAGTTTTAGTTGCCAAGCAACATCATTAAGAAAAAAAAAATATATAAAACAAACACTTTGTTTAGATTGAAATGAAATGGTTTGATTTTGGTCTCTTGTGCTAAAAGCAGGGGATGGGTGTCCTAAACACCAGGTTAGAGGATAATTTTCATTCTATCACTTTATCTCAAAAATATTCAAATATTTTCTACAAACTGGAACAGCTCCAAAAAGAGTGACTGATGAAGACCACCCTTAGAATATTCCTTAGCCTAGAGTATTCTAGAGTATTCTCTGGAGAGGTTAGAGAAGGACAGAGAAGGAAAATCCATGTCTGTGGAGCACCATTATAGCAGGAAGATATAAGCCTTTCCCCAGATCTAGATTTTTACATTGTCCCTCTTTTTATTCAGGTTGACCTAACAGTTTCAATTTAACTGTGATGTTCTGTTGGTATCAGTAGGGGTTGTGGGGCAGTGTATCTTTAGTGGATAGTCCTGAACTCATTTTGCTTCCTCCTGCATCCGTCAGGCCTGTTGAATGTTCATGGTGTATGCTGATGCTTTGATGGGGATTGATTGAATGTCTCCAGGAATCATAGAAACACAGAAAATTAGGGCTGGAAGGAACCTCAGGAGGTCATCTAGTCCAACCCCCTGCTCAAAGCAGGACCCTCCCCAGCTAGATCATCCCAGCCAAAGCTTTGTGTAGCCGGGTTTTGAAAACCTCTAAGGATGGAGCTTCCACCACCTCTCTGGGTAACCTGTTCCAGTGTTTTACTACCCTCCTAGAGATAAAATTCTTCCTAATATTCAACCTAAACTTCCCTTGCTGCAACTTGAGACTGTTGCTTCTTGTTCTGTCATCTGCCACCACTGAAAACAGTCTAGCTCCATCCTCTTTCAAACCCCCTTCAGTTAGTTGAAGGCTGCTATTAAGTCCCCCCTCAGTCTCTTCTCTAGATTAAATAAGCCCAGTTCCTTCAGTCTTTCCTCATAAGTCATGTCCCCCAGGCCCCTCACCATTTTTGTTGCCTTCTGCTGGACTCTCTCCAATTTGTTCACATCCTTTCTGTAGTGGAGGGGTCCAAAACTGTAAACAGTACTCCAGGTGTGGCCTCATCAGTGCTGAAAAGAGGGGAATAATCAGTTCCCTTGACCTACTGGCAGTACTCCTACCAATGCAGCCCAGTATGCTGTTACCCTTCTTGGCAACAAGGGCACACTGCTGACTCATATTCATCTTATTGTCCACTGTAACCCCAGGTCCTTTTCTGCAGAGCTTCTACCCAGCCAGTTACCCACCAGCCTGTACTGGTACATGGGGTTTTTCCATCCTAAGTGAAGGACGTTGTACTTGTCCTGGTTGAACCTCATGAGATTTCTTTTGGCCCAGTCCTCCAATTTGTTTAGGTTACTCTGAATCCTAGCCCTACCCACCAGCATATCTACTACTCCCCCTAGCTTGGTGTAATCTGCAAACTTGATGAGGGTGCACTTTAAGCAATTCTGTAGGTAACTGATGAAGACATTGAACAAAACTGACCCCTGGGGCACTCCACTTGATACCAGCTGCCAATCAGACATCGAGCCACTGATAACTACTCTCTGAGCCCAATGTTTCAGCTAGTTTTCTGTCTACCTTACAGTCCATTCATCCAGCCTATACTTCCTTAGCTTGGCTGGGAGAATATTCATAGTTTCATAGTTTCATAGTTTCTAGGGTCGGAAGGGACCTGAGCAGATCATCTAGTCCGACCCCCTGCCATGGCAGGAAAGAGTACTGGGGTCAAACGACCCCAGTAAGGTGGTCATCCAACCTCCTCTTAAAAACCCCCAGGGTGGGAGCCTGCACCACCTCACTTGGAAGCTGGTTCCAGACCCTAGCCGCCCTGACCGTGAAGTAGCGCCTCCTGATGTCCAACTTAAACCTTCCCTCCGCCAGCTTGTGACC